AAAAATTAAGTTCAATATATACTAAATTAAGTTATAATTTAATTTATATTAAAATGTCTAAAAATCTACTATATATTATTGTAATATTCAGAAAATTTTTAAATAAATTCCTTTAAAACATTTTTCAAATATACTATAAATTAGATACGCAAAAATAATAAAATTTATTATTAAATATTCTTTTATATTTATCTGGTCTAAGATTTAATATTTCACTAAAATAAATTGATTAAGAATATGATATACTAGAATAATGCAATCACATGATTCTGATAAAATTCAGTATTTTATAATTCAATATTACAAGTATTATAATTTTTGTCATTATTAAAATAATATTAAATGCTACTAGAATTTATAGGTTGATACTACTAGATAAATGCTAAAAAATGTTTAATAGAAATATTATCTGAAAAGTCAATTGTATATTTAAAATAATATTGAATTTGATTAGAATACAATCAATATTATCATTAATTGTCAAAAATTAAGCCAAAATAAATGAATTTTTAATATAACAGGATGACATTGAAGAGCTATTTTTATTCAAATAATATTCAAATCTTTAGATCCATCTTTAAATGGATTTTAAAAGTTATATCTTTTATAAATCATATTATAATATTTGATCATTAAATTAAGCATTTTGTTTGATATTATAATATTTTCTGAAGAAGGACTTAGCATATCTTCAAAAAATAGCTTAAATCTGTAAATTGAAGATTCTTTAATATTTTGTAAATACATTAAATATCATTTCATTTTGTCTGAAATAAATTTATCACTCTCTGAAACTGAACTAATTGAAATACTTATGCTAAATATATTGAAACCTTTTTAAATAATTATTTTAGAATTAATAAAATTATTGTTTAGAATAAAGTATAAGACTATATGTATTAGTGAAAAGATCTCAGTCACGTGAATATTTTCATTTGTCACACTATATATACGATAGATCAGTAAATAAAAAAATAAAAATATAAAAACAAAATAAAATAATAAAATATTAAAATTAATTTATTTATTTTAAATAAAAATATTTCACTCTAGACTTAAAATAGTTTTTATTTTTTAGTTTATTTAATTATTACTCATATAATATGGTGTATGAATTCTAGCTCAATTTTTTGATGACTATTAAACAAGGCATTTAATATTCCATTTATGCATTTAAATGAAAAATATCAGAAGATAAAAAGAGGTTTAAAATCTTTGAAAATTTGTATAAGTAAAGCAAAAAGAAAGGTTAGGAGTTATAAAGTTTCTGTCATAATTCTTTTTAATTAACTTCACAATTTCAATCAATTTCTAATGAGCCTCTTTTATTAGTTCAACTTCTATAATTTGACTCATCAAAATAAACAAATTTTTACAAAATGCATAAGAATTTTTCTATTTTTAACTGAAAATTATTGCTAAAATAATATAGTAACTTAAACTGTAAAAAAATATTTTCTATTAATTGGTTGTAAAATTAGTAAAACCTTTACTATATTTTACTTTTTCTGAAATTCTATCTACATTGATTAGAACTTGGAACTGGTTTATTTTTCTTTGAATATCTCTTAGAGATTTTGTATTAAGTATTTTTCATTAATTCAAATTCATTTAATAATTTACTTTGCAATACTTAAAAATAGATAATGTATTGGATTGATTGCTAAAAAAGAATTAGATCAAAATACAGAAGCTAAAGTAATTAAAAGCATCTGATACTAGTTATTTTTACAAAATGATTTTTTTAAAATAAATTAAAGAATTTATTAAAAACATATACTATGATAATAAAAATCCTATTTCGTTTGATAATTTTAACTAAAGGGATGATCTAATCTTGATTCAACCTAAAACTGCTTAAATCAAATAAATAAGATGAAATAAATAAAGTTAGTAATCAAATTAATTATTAAAATAAGAAAAGAAAATAAAATAATAAATCAAAAAATTAGTCAGCTCATCTTAACTGTAATGATGAACTGATCAATTTTATTCGAAGGTTCTGTCTAGTTCTTAGCTAACTGATTGAACTTAAAAAAACTAAATTAATTACTAAAATAAGAAAAGAAAACAATAAATCAAAAAATTAGTTAGCTCACCTTAGCTATAATGATAAATCAGTCAGTTCTATTTCAAAGGTTCTGTTAAAAACCTAAGTGAAGAAGCTTAGATTAATATTGCTAAATTTAATTTTGATAATCCTACATTAGATCTGAAGGTTAAGGAAAAATTATATGATGATGCAGAGAAAGAACTTAGATATTTAATGAAAGAGTGATATATTCTTAATAGAAATATTTATAAAGAGAAGAATGAGCTATTATTTAAAAGAACGAGAAAATTGAAAAATAATGAAAAGTCTAAAGATGATAATTTAGAAACTAAAGATGATGAGAGAGATACTAATGAATATATAAATAAGAGTGTAGAGTTATTAGATTTAAGCGAAAATAAAAACTATAATGAAGATGATAAAAAAGATGAGGAAATACAAGTAGTTACTCAAAGTTTTTTTGCAAAGAAAGCTGAGTAAAGATACTAAAATGTCAAAAGGTAAGTGCTTATTGAAAAAATATAGTGAAAAATAAACTCTTTATTCTTTTTAATATTATAATATTTTTCTATATTATTGAAAATATACATAAATCAAAAGTTAAAAATGGTAAATTTCTTTAAATTTTAATTTGAATATTTTTTTATATATAAATAATGGATTTAAATAAGATCGTTATTTATAACATATAATATAGATATAGTATTTTATCTTTTAGAAGTAATATAAAAAAATAAAATCCTACTTTCGAATTTATTTTGTATTTTATAATTAATAATTCTCCATATAATTTGTTAAAATTTGAATAATTAGCTAATGAAATTAG